ATCTTCACCTGTTGAAATAGTTGAAGAAAAGCTTAGAGGAAGATGTGGAAGAAGGGATGTAGGCCACTGTGGTTAGGCTGAACCTCTATAAATTATTGTTTGTCCTTATTCTTCCTCACTATTCATTTGCATCATCCATATTACATTGCCTATCACATATATTTTCTTCTTCCTCATGTAATTGTTCACATTGCATGAATGGTAAAAATTTATAAAAGCTCAAAATTAGTAATCAACTCAAACAACCTAATTCACCCCCCGCTTAGGTTGTATTTGAGCCAAGATGTTTTGGCTGAATAAAATCATAGGCTCCTTGAAAGGACACCAAACTTGTTGATCTGTTGTAGAATCCATCCATTTCACTTCATTAATCTGTTCCCAAACTGCTGGGAATTTTAATTGGAAATAACTTGGGATAGACCAATCCTCCCCCCCCCCCCTCGAATATAATCTACAACCTTGGAAGGGGTGAATATTACAGAGAGCACTCAAAGGGGAACCCAACCACTATTTTTCCAAAACCGAGTAGAACTTCCATCTCCAGTAACCCACTGGGAATGCTCATGAATAACCCCCGACTGATTATGAATTCCTCGCCAAATACTGGAGATTTTTAATATAAAATTGGTTTAAGGGACGATTTTAGGAAATGGGCACGAAGAGAACAAACACATTGTTCCTACAAACTTAAAAAATTCCACGCCAATGTTAGCAGAGCAGCTTGATTGAGGGTAGAGAGATCCCTCATGCCAAGGACACCTTCTTCCACTAGGGCATAAATCTTATGCCATGCCACTGTAACTAGCTTCTTGGTGTGGATATCCCCTGACCAAATAAAATTCTGGTCAGTTGCTCGGAGATCCTTATATAAGGAATTAGGCCATGGGTAAATCATCATAGAGTATAATAACATACCGTAATAACAGAACCCTTCTTGCCAAGGAGAGGAGGCAACCTTTCCACGAAGTAAGCTTTACCTTTATTCAATCAACAATTGTTTGAAAATAGCACATTCTCACTTTTCTCCTAAAGATTGGAACCCCCAAATGAGAAAAAGTTAATACACCATCGTGCATACCAAACCAATATAGAATAAATTGTTTTCACCGAGTAGCTCCCACCCCAACAAAAACTACAAATTTGAACTTGCTAACACATTGACTCCATACTTCACCATAGCAATTAAGAAGGGCTTGCATATTTTTAATACATGAACGAGTCACATGACAACAAATAATAATATCATCTACAAACATAATATGTGACGGCACCAATAAACCTCTTGAATATGAAATAGGTTGAACTTGTCATCCTAAACTAGACAATTGATACTACAACTTGACCTATCTTCATACAAACAAAAAATTGATACTACAACTTGACCTATCTTCATACAAACAAAAAAGTAATAGTGAAATAACTATTTTAAAATATGTCCCGACCCGCGCAGGTTAGCCCGATAAACTGGTACCTAAGCGGGGCCGGTTTCTAAATTGAACCGTTCATACAAATGATCCGCCAGAGAACCGTCCAATCCTGGCTCAAGCTGGACAATTTTCTTAAACACCATTACAAACTGGACGATNGTGGATATCCCCTGACCAAATAAAATTCTGGTCAGTTGCTCGGAGATCCTTATATAAGGAATTAGGCCATGGGTAAATCATCATAGAGTATAATAACATACCGTAATAACAGAACCCTTCTTGCCAAGGAGAGGAGGCAACCTTTCCACGAAGTAAGCTTTACCTTTATTCAATCAACAATTGTTTGAAAATAGCACATTCTCACTTTTCTCCTAAAGATTGGAACCCCCAAATGAGAAAAAGTTAAGACACCATCGTGCATACCAAACCAATATAGAATAAATTGTTTTCACCGAGTAGCTCCCACCCCAACAAAAACTACAAATTTGAACTTGCTAACACATTGACTCCATACTTCACCATAGCAATTAAGAAGGGCTTGCATATTTTTAATACATGAACGAGTCACATGACAACAAATAATAATATCATCTACAAACATAATATGTGACGGCACCAATAAACCTCTTGAATATGCAATAGGTTGAATTTGTCATCCTAAACTAGACAATTGATACTGCAACTTGACCTATCCTCATACAAACAAAAAAGTAATAGTGAAATAACTATTTTAAAATATGTCCCGACCCGCGCAGGTTAACCCGATAAACTGGTACCTAAGCGGGGCCGGTTTCTAAATTGAACCGTTCATACAAATGATCCGCCAGAGAACCGTCCAAACCTGGCTCAAGCTGGACAATTTTCTTAAACACCATTACAAACTGGACGGTTTTCGTCATTCAAACCGGTCTACTATTTTAATCTTATTTATTATTAAATGTTTAAAACTCAGCTAGCCACCTGCCACTTAGCTTGTCCCATCCAGAAACTAGTACGAGACTACCAAGCAAGGCCACCACTCAAATACGGACATGAGTTGTCCTCTTACAACGCATGTAGTCTTACTTTTGCTGGGTTTCTGACGTGGGATTGCATGTCTTGTGCTTAAGATGCATTTGTTCTTTATGTTTTTAATAACTTGCAGTATACCTTTGAGTTACACTATTAGTATTTATATCAACTATTCAATCCTTATTTGTGAATTTTTTTTATGCCTTTTCAAATTATGTTAATTGTGCAAGTAACTTAAAAAAAAATTGATCAAGTGTAAGCAAAGTAATGAATTGAGATATTTTTTGTCTTTTTAGTTTATCCACTGCGATATAAAACATGTTATTTCAACATCTATTATAATCTTTTAGCATATTTATTATTATTAATAATTACTTTTTATTATTAATTATATGACTGATTCAATCACTGAGCTAACGGTTGAGCCATTGATTCATTGACCCACGATCCCTTGCCAGATAGATGTTCAAGCCGAATTTTCAAACTATGATAAAATAAGATTTTCTTGCCGAACTCCACGTGAATAAAAAAAAACCCAACTAGAGTCCCATTAAATGAAATTGACAATGTAGCAAGTCTAAGTTTTCAAAGATTCCCGAAGCGAAAACATCATTAAATCCACAAGATTTTAGGCACATCAATGTTTATGCTNCAGCTAGCCACCTGCCACTTAGCTTGTCCCATCCAGAAACTAGTACGAGACTACCAAGCAAGGCCACCACTCAAATACGGACATGAGTTGTCCTCTTACAACGCCTGTAGTCTTACTTTTGCTGGGTTTCTGACGTGGGATTGCATGTCTTGTGCTTAAGATGCCTTTGTTCTTTATGTTTTTAATAACTTGCAGTATACTTTTGAGTTACACTATTAGTATTTATATCAACTATTCAATCCTTATTTGTGAATTTTTTTTATGCCTTATCAAATTATGTCAATTGTGCAAGTAACTTAAAAAAAAATTGATCAAGTGTAAGCAAAGTAATGAATTGGGATATTTTTTGTCTTTTTAGTTCATCCACTACGATATAAAACATGTTATTTCAACATCTATTATAATTTTTTTAGCATATTTATTATTATTAATAATTACTTTTTATTATTAATTATATGACTGATTCAATCACTGAGCTAACGGTTGAACCATTGATTCATTGACCCACGATCCCTTGCCAGATAGATGTTCAAGCCGAATTTTCAAATTATGATAAAATAAGATTTTCTTGCCGAACTCCACGTGAATAAGAAAAAACCCAACTAGAGTCCCATTAAATGAAATTGACAATGTAGCAAGTCTAAGTTTTCAAAGATTTCCGAAGCGAAAACATCATTAAATCCACAAGATTTTAGGCGCATCAATGTTTATGTTTATATTACCTCCATAAAAGTGCACATCTAGATTGTTAAAGTATTTAGAAGTCAAACAAAATACAATTTGAATTTTTTTGACCTTTGTTGAAAGCCCGATGTTTCGAGATAATACGAGTAATAAGAACAAATCGATTTGCCAATATTTTTGTGATAATCTTAAAAAAATAAAAATTATTATAGCAAGAGAGTTCATGTTTGAGTAAAGCCAACCCAATTGGAAGAAACTTTGCACTGCTAAAATTACATCTCTTCCCACAATATCCCAGCAAGATTGGTACAGCCCCACCACCAAAAAAGGCTTGGAGTAAGATTAAATGGAATCATAAGATTCTTTTCGATTTTTTTTAATTACAAATTACTCATCTCGTGATAGTGTGGATCAACTTCCCTATGATGGATCCGATTTTATTTATTTCTATTAATTTATCAATAAATAAATTAAAAAATAATTAAAAAAAATGGATCTAATATGAATTGTGTAAGACAACATAGATGATGTGAACATAATTTGAGGATGCATGTTTATATCAAACGAAAAATGTCATATTAATCAAATACTAGAATTAAATATGCAACTCAAATAATGTAGTAATTTAACATAGTAAATAAATCTTAAATTTTTAAAAAATCAAAAATAAAATCAAAAATATTATTATTATTATTATAATAATATTACATCTTTTAATTTCTAATTTTTGGTCTATGTTATTTGGTGAATACGGCATTGACCTTGTCCATGTTAAAATTCAAATGAAGAGTGGGATGGGATTTACCAAAATTAAGTAAATTCCACGTTCTGCCCCTATACAATTCCCCACGCGTTGTCTGACTGTACAACACGTCTGAGCTACACAAAAGCACTAAGCCACCACGTGGCTTCACGTCACGTTAAATTCCACGTCACCACTTGGTTTAGTCGGTTAGTGTGCCACCGTCGCACCGCACCTTCCACGTACCATTTTAAAGCAAATAGCTTTTTCAATATTTTAAATCCCCGCGGTTCTCCCACCCACCCCACCCTAGAGAGAGAGAGAGAGAGTCGGTGAACAAAATACCGTACAGCTTTGTCTCTCTGTTCCTACTGCTCAACCTAATTTCCATCCTTTATACGTCTTAATTGAAGGCATCAAGACTGCCAAAAACGAAAGAACAGTATTTTAAAAAGGAGTCAACCTCTCGGTACAATCCATCGTTATGGTGAGTTTTTTTTTTTTTTTTTTTAATTATTTGCAAAATTGTTGATTTATTGTTCCAGTTGAAGCTTTTATGATCTCTGAAATGCATGTGTTTTTTTAGAGAACAGAAATTGAATGTAGTTGTTTTCGTCTTGATTATATGCTTAAGGCCGCTGTTCCAGTTGAAGCTTTTCTAATCGTTGGTATTCATTGTTTTCTTAGAGAACTGAATTAAAAATTATAATTTTTTTTTCTTGATTATATGCTTAATTCGGCTGCCTGGCTTAGCTTCTTCAGAGCTCGAAGAATTACAATTTGATAAAATATGAAATTCAAGTTAAGTTTTTGTTCACTGTGTAAGATAATGGAATAAAAAGAGGCCCTTGTTTTGAAAAACGAATATTCAAGGAAGTCCTCGTTGCGTCTATTTATTTGGGTTGGTGGTATCTCATATCTAGATCATTTGTTCACAATCCATTTTTGGATTGATGTATGAATTTTTCTTAGGTTTTCCATAGATTATATAGACTAGTTGAGAAAAATTTCCCTTTTTTAGGACAAGGGTCAGAAAATGGGACTCTGTGTATAACACCAGTAGCTGGCAGTGGGTTTTGTGTTGGGATACGATAAGAAAAGAAAGAGGGTTTATGGTTCTAGATTGTGGAATGCAGTTGTAGAATTTGAATCCTCTTAATTTTGAATTTTGTTAATCTTCGGTGAGTTCAATAATTGGCAGTTGAATTCAGTGGGACCCATAGGGCGGGTAATTAAAATTGTCCAAGATTGAGAAGATCTGAAATTAAGAGGATCTGGATCCTATCAAGATTTGGGGACTGCTGTGGGTTTGTTCTTGATATTGAAGGTTGAAGGAAATAACGTTATCTTTGAGGTGCCCCAAATGAAAGGAAAAGGGTGGGTAAAGGTTGTTTAAGATTAATTGTTGTTTGAGTTTTAGAGCTGAAATTGGGGTCTGCTCTGGGTTTTTTTCTGGGCCATCAAGATTTTATCCTTGGATAGAACCGAGGCTCATTTTGTTGGGTCTATGGTTGCAATGGTTTGTGGGAAGGCTTGGGCTTCTTGGATGGAGCAATTTGTATTGGGGGAGGTGGTTGCAGGTTGGGATTGCTAGGAATGGAACAAAGTGCCGAGAAGAAAAGATGCATAGAGAGTGCTTTAAGAGAAGAAGAATAAGCAAAAAAAGTGAAGAGGCACTTCTCCCTTGCAATCCCATGATAACATAATTTCCAGGATCAAGTTCGGGATCCACCAAAGTTGACCCATATTGCAAAAAACAACTCACACGGAAAGGCTGTCCTCTCAGCCCACTGATACAACCCAAAGCTTAAATGGAAAATATCATTGATTCTAATTAAAAAACTTAATAAAATGTAACCATAACAATTCCCACTAAACACGTATTATAACTTGGATAACTGCCATGTTCACTTCTTGGGCGGCATTGGACTTCTAATCTTAGTTTTAGGCACTCAAAAGTAATTATGGTTCTCTTCATTCTTTTACAGTCTTGATTCCTGATAAAGATGTCAATGTGGGGGATTTATTTTGATCAACTAATTTCTCGTGTCGAAATTTTTTACCTATTATATTAATAAAAGGGTCTAAAACAGGCTCGCACAGATTTTATATGGGTTGATTTGGGTAATTATCATTTGTCAGTGAGAGGATCTGCAGTCATATTTGCTTTGATTTATCTCTTTTGCAGGGTACCTCAGTGATACAAGATACTGTATTGGTGCTTACGGATAATGTAGTTGTGCCTCTTAGCACTGTTTTGAATGCAATCAAGGTTGTCAAGAAGGAAGGAGTTGAACAGATTGATCCTATGATCATAACTCAAGCTTCAGCATCAAGTATTATTTTTTCTTCTCTTGGCTTGCTATAAGTTAATTTCTCCTTTTCTGTTTTTTACTGCCTTTAAGTTATTTATAGTCTTGAATTTTATTGACTGTATATTTTCTGGGTGGACACTGCTCTGTCTGACTGTGTTCACTCTGCACATTTATAAATAAGTGCATCACTAGCAACATTGGTACATATAAGACAGCATCTGAGTATTAACTTTGTTTGCTTTATTTTCTCTCTCTTTTTTTATAACTGATAATAGAAAGTGGCATAAAAAATATAAAAGAGAGAGGACGGTGCTGCATTGTACTAGAACTTTCTGGTTAGGTCAAATGTGGATTGTGGAGTTAATCCATTTGGNTTATAACTGATAATAGAAAGTGGCATAAAAAATATAAAAGAGAGAGGACGGTGCTGGATTGTACTAGAACTTTCTGGTTAGGTCAAATGTGGATTGTGGAGTTAATCCATTTGGAGCATAACATATTAATTTCATGTTAAACTAGTGCCCAATTGTTAGCATCGTCTGACATTACCATCCCATCTAACTACCAAAGTTATCTGAAGAGCTACTGGGTTAATATGGTAATGAACTGCTTTTGTGGGATGGGGATCCGGGACATAGGATAATAGCATTCCAGAAAACTAACTGTGGCCATCTTCTCTTGCTTGCTTCTTATAATAAAGTACAAATGTGATAATATACAGAGTCCTTGATGGAATGTTGGAAGAAAGGGCCTTTGCTCCCTTGTATTGGGGTTTTTTGTCTGATCCTTTACCATGACTACATAATTAGTGGATCCTGCAGGGCCACCCGTGTGTGTGATTAGAAGGGAGTAATATAGCCAGTGGGTGTGAGAGAGATATATATGTGAGTGAGAAGAGACCAAGATGGAGAAATTATATAGACGGTTGAGTGCAGTTAATAGGGAGTTATGGGTAGTTAAGGGGTTATGGGTGGTTAAGATGGGAAAAAAGTAAGAGTAATATAGTATTTTTTACATATGGACATCAAACTCCTCCCTGCCTTTTTGTAAAAGCAATAGATTAATTCCAGTCAGCAGTTCTCTTTAGGATTTGGAGATGGTCTTATGAGGATCATCTCTTTCTCCATTGCCCTGTGGCCTTGAGGGTGTCTCAGTACTTTTGGTGAGTTTAGTTTGAGTTGAATAATTCCAGGAATATGTGTTGCTGCATTTGAGACACATTATGGTATTTTTGATGAGGGGTTGGAGCATCTATTTTTTCAAATGGTGTGGTTATGGGAATTTTTTGGGTAGTGGGGAACGAAATTGGAGAATTTTCAAGAAAAAGAAGAATACGAGTGCTTCTTTGGGTAGAGTGAACTTTTGGCTTCCCTTTGGGTGTCGACTAATAAAGAGCTTGAGCATGTGCCATTCTTTGCCCTAAATCTTAAATTGGATAACGAAATGTTGTTAGATGATCATTTTCTTTAATTAACTTCTTATGATGTATTTTCCTTTTCCATTCTGGCATTTTCTTTCCTTTTATAGGGTGGATTCTGTATCCACTACTTTGTTCCCTATCAAAAGTAAACATGGAGAGCCAAAACTTGATTTTCAGGGAGTTTGTATGCTCTAAGCTCATCCGAAGTTTAATGACTATTTATTTATTGTCCAAACATTTGAGCATGCTTTGAGAGTGACTTAATGTGACTGAAGTGTAGCTTATTTCTAGGGGTGTTAGTTGGATTATCTGAAAAAATATTTGCCTTTGTGGCAGTCAATGGCTACACATCCTGCATTTGTCAACTTATAAAGGAAGTAGTAGGAAAATGTTTGGGACATGGGGGCAGACAAAGGTTCCATAGGTTCTGGTCATTTGATGGCAGTTTCCTGTTCATGGCAGTCTTAACTTTAATTGCTAATCTTGTCCATCCATTTACTTTGGTCTTTCTTTAGCCTGCAGTTATTATGTGATACAAGAATGCTTATACTTGATGAAATCTCTCCACCTACAGTTTTGCTCTTTTCTTTTCCCTAATTGCATGTTTTTCCATGTTGTGTCAAAGTAGAAAATTTGGAGGTTTCTATTTAAAATTCTGAAATAGCTGTTTCTTTCCATGTCATCATTAGCATCAGCCCACAAGTAAACCCTTGAAAAGAAAATTTCAGTTTACATATGCAACTTCTTTATTGTTTTATGTATAATTGTACATATCTCAGTCCTATAAATGTGGTATTGATTAATGACAGGTTTGCTTCCAATTGATTCATCGTCTATGGATATTGTTGTATTCATCAGTACGTCGCTTGAATTTCCGGGTGATCAATTGTTTGCGGAGATTTCAAGAGTTTTGAAACCTGGTGGATCCACTCTACTTCACCAGACTTCTCAGTCTGCTACGAGGCAAATGGTAATGTAATTGTGATTCACTTTTTAAGTCGGAGGAATGGGCCCCACAAAAGGTAGATTACATTTTATCACCCTGTGGTTTGGGCCCTAGCACCTTATCTCCCTATGGCTTAAAAACCTTCACTTCGACCCCTTATAGTTTTGGGCTGAAGTGTGACTATAAGAACCATTGAAATTGAAGGTCAAAGGTTAAAAGACAAAGCTATCAACAAAATATCATATAGTTATCTTTTTTTTTTGTCTCTCCTCTTCTATGCATTAGTTATATCTGTCTTTCCTCTTCTATGCATTAGTTATATCATATATCAATTAATAAAATTTCTGGAAGGAGAAAAAAATGTTGGGAAAGAACAAGGGATTATTGCTTTTTACACTAAATAAATAGTCATGGTGGCTGATGCACCTTCGTCCATAGCATTGAGAGGTGAAGTGTAGATTTTTAAACCACAAGGAATGTTCAATGTTGTGGACCCAAATCACAAGGAGACAAAATATATGTTACCTAAAAAAACTTGGTTGAATATGGAGTTATGCTGATTTTAATTGATCTTTTTTCAGACCTCTTCTCTTGAGCGTAGGTTATTGGTGGCAGGGTTTGTGGATGTGCAGTGTATGCAAATGACACCAATTGCATCGTCTGAATTGGTTGAGACTTTTGGGGTAAGTATTTGTTCTTTATGCTGCCAACGCTTCCCTTCCCTTCCCCACTTTCTAAATCCCCTCCCTTACAAAATAAGGAAAAAAAATACCAAACCTCTTCTTGTAATAGACAGTATATGAGCTTTAAGAATAGGCTTGTAAAGAAATGTCACTTTATGAGCTGTGCTCTATTTTGCTGTCAATGTGGTATATTGTAAAATGGAGAAGCTTTTTGTAATGCTTTGGTCACACATGATATCAAATATCATTTGTAATTTGTACTTTCCCACTTGCTGCACATGATTTCTGACATAAATTTGTGTAGCTTTTGATGAGCTCATATTAGGTGACTCTGTAAGGGTAATTGATATTGGGAATTTTAGGTAATTTTGAAGTATTTCGCATTGTGAATTTTAAGGAATTTTGAACCATAGTGATACAACAACTTATAATAGTAGGGTACTAGTTCAGTGGTTAAAACTCAGTCCAATAAATTTGAGGTGTTGTGTGGTTCGCAAGGATCGAAATTTCGTTTCGAAGTACTATTTCGGTCAACTCAAAAACTGAAACGTTTAATGGAAATGCAGAAAAAATATGAAAACACGTAGAAACACAAATACAATTCNTTTGAGGTGTTGTGTGGTTCGCAAGGATCGAAATTTCGTTTCGAAGTACTATTTCGATCAACTCAAAAACTGAAACGTTTAATGGAAATGCAGAAAAAATATGAAAACACGTAGAAACACAAATACAATCCATTTATTTATAAAGATATGCTAAATAATTGATTAATTCAACATATTTATTGGGTTAACATCCATTTATATAAGAATAAATTTAAACTGGAGGAAAAAAAAGGTTTGACATGAGGCAAAAATCACTTAAATTAGTAGTACTTATGTATACTTAAAAGTAAAAAGTTATAATGCAGTGGGGTATTTAATGTAATTATAGTGAAATATTAAATGTAATTACAGTGGATATTAATTATTAAATGTAATTGTAGAGGGCATTAAATGTAATTGTAGTGGGTATCAAATGTAATTACAGTGAATATTAACTATTAAATGTAATTGTTGTGGGGTAGTAAATGTAATTGTTATGGGGTATTAAATATAATTGTAGTGGGTATTAACTATTAAATATAATTGTAATGGAGTGTTAAATGTAATTACAGTGGGTATTAACTATTAAATATAATTGCAGTGGGTGTTAAGTGTAATTACTGTGGGGTATTAAATATAATAATTCATACTTATAACAAAAAAAAATATAAAAGGCAGAAGACGTAATACATGAACGACTTAGACTGAGAAGCGAAAGGCGATAGAGAGGCGGAGGCGATGGCGATGGCGATGGCGATGGCAATGGCAATGGCGATGGCGATGTGGAGAGAGAGAAGAACAACAACATACCTGGTCGCAGCTCGCAGCGATGAAGACAGGAGTCAAGGAGGATTTGCGTGAAAAACCCGAGCTCTAGATCTACGTGAAAAATCCGAACTCTAGATCTGCGTGAAAAATCCGAAAATGGTTGGATCTGTTTAAATTTGGACTCAAGGAGGTAAGTTACTCAAGTCTTCTCCTTCAATTTTTCTGTCTCTTCGATTTCCTGTGGTGCCTTTCTCTCACTTCTCTCTGTTTTTTTTGGCTTTGAAGACCTAGACATGTGATTTCTGAGAGTTCTATTTTTTTCCTTTTTTTTTTTTTTGGCTTGGAGGACATGTGATTCCAATTTTTTTTTTTGTACTATTTTGACCGAAATGGTTCGACACAGTGACGTTTCGACCGAAATATTGAAATTTTCGAAATTCATCCCATTTTTCGTATTTATTTTGAAATTCTGAGCTGTTTCGGACGTTTCGACACGACATTTCGTTCCTTGGTGGTTTGAACCTGAGGGCGATCACTATGTGCAAATGGTGCTAGTTGAAATAGAAATGTGATATTAGGGTTAGAGAGAAGAAGAAAAACAGAAAAGAGAGAATAATCAGTGTGTCAGCTGTGTTGTCCTATACTTTCTTATTTATGGTAATATGATATATTATGGGAATAAGAACTCTGACACTACACTTTAAGCTATAACATAAAGATAAAAAATATCTAGTTTGGAATAAAGATTATTGAAAACAGATCGAGCCAACGGTTTGGTAAGGATGTCACCCAGTTGATTACTAGCATTGATGTATGGTTTGATAATCTCTTTATGTAGAGAGATTTCGAATAAAATGACAATTCACTTCAATATGTTTAATCCTTTCATGAAATACTGGATTGTTGGCAATGAAAATTGTTGTCTGATTGTCACAATGCATCTCCATAAGAAAGAGCGCACTAATACCCATATCACGAATTAGAGAACGAACCCACAACATCTCACACACAGAATGAGCTATGGTCCGATATTCGGCTTTTGCACTTGAACATGCAACCACATTTTGTTTCTTGCTATGCCTAGTAACAAGATTATTACCAATAGATGTAATAGTAACCAGAAGTAGATAGTCTGTAAATACGACTACTTGCCCGGTCAGCATTAGAAAAGCTAGTAATAAGCATATGGAGGATGAAGAACGATATAACAATCTTTTACCCAGTGTTCCTTTCAAATATTGAAGAATACGACATAAAACCTCCCAATGAGAGCTTACGAGAAGCATGCGTTAACTGACTAACCACACCAACAACATAGGTAGTATCTAGACGTGTTACAATGAGATAAATTAGTTTACCAACTATCTTGTGATAGTGCCCTACATCTTTAAAAACCTCACTTCCAACATCTAATTTAACTATANAACAACATAGGTAGTATCTAGACGTGTTACAATGAGATAAATTAGTTTACCAACTAACTTGTGATAGTGCCCTACATCTTTAAAAACCTCACTTCCAACATCTAATTTAACTATAGAGTCTATAGTAGTATCAGATACACCTAAAGTCTCAGTTTCAAATAAATCCCACACATACTTCCATGGGGATAAACTAATACCTCATTTGATCAAGCAACTTCAATTTGAAGAAAGTACCCGAAGAATAGCCAAGTCTTTAGTATAAAATTGCTTCCCCAAATAGATCTTGTAGTGGGTAATACTATCTGAATCATTACCACTAATGATAATATCATCAACATGCACTAAGAATGATAACACTTGTGGAAAAGCAACGAATAAAAATTAAATGATCTAAGATAGAACACTGAAAACCATAATGAAGCATAACAATACTGAACTTATCAAATAAAATTCGTGGTGATTGTTTTAGGCTATGTAGTGCTTTTTTCAAATGACATACCAAGTGTTCCTTACAAGATACAACATAACCTGGAGGTTTTACCATATATACCTCCCTTCTCCAGTAAGTCTCCATGTAAAAAAATATTTTTGATGTCTAGCTGATACAAAGGCTAGTCACAACTCAATGCAACAAAAATAAGAACTCTTTACCGCAGTTTAGGCATTCAATAGGTGAAAAAGTCTCATAATGATCCACATCATATCTCTGGATGTAGCCTAGCACAACCAGCTGTGCCTTCAAACACTCGGCCAAATCATCGGGATTATACTTCATTCAGAACCTTTGGACTAATCAGGAGGAGGGCTTTTAATCAAGTATTTAGCTTCCATTTAGCACGTAGAAATACTTTAATGACATGTAACCAAGAGTAATAGTTAGTGCCATTCAACTTTATTGAAGTAATTTGCCTAATCTGATCATCCACAAAATAGTTTTTTTGAACTAGAGCATCCACTGTTGTATCCTTTACATCTTCAGAGGTCGCAATAGTACAATCCACATCCAACCACCAATAACAAAACAATAAGTGAGCCAATAATGCTTGACTAACCAAAATTGGACCATAAACCAAATGAACAGAAAGTAGGATTAAACACTGAACAACCCAGCACAAACTAGTGCACTAACTATTCAAACCAGTAGGACCAAACATAGAGAAGTCCTCACAATGCAACCCAACACAAAACCAGCACCACAACACAAACAACTCACCTGTGTTCAATCAATGAAGTCCAGTAGACCAAAAACAAGTCTCGACTACTACAAACCAATGAGAAACCAATCAACATGCCACAAGGTGATATGGGTCTCTTCCAGATTGTCCTTGTGGGTTAGACGCACCCCTCTGTAAGAGCAGGAAGCATCACCAATCATCGAATGTCGTTGAAAAGTAACATTGAAGAAATCAACCTCAAATTTTCAAAAAGCATTTGAAAATAAGAAAGTGTATTCAGATGACTTAAAAAAATTAACAAAAATGACCCCTAAATCTCAGCACCATAAGTCGACCTTGGACCTGAGTGTTGATCGCTGACAGGTGTTGACATCACCACTGATTTGCAGGCGTCAGGGACTGGGTCTCTATCGTTTTCTTCCTCGAGTCTTCTACTATATTGTTTGACAATTATTTACATTAGATTAATCACTCTGATATCAAGTTGAAATAATAAAGGTGATATTGGGGTTAGGAAGAAGAAGAGAAACAAAAAAGAGAGAAAACTGGTGTATTATGGGAATTACAATATCATCCTACACTAATAATATAAATAAAAACTCTAACAGTGCCAAAGTTTAGGCCCGTGCCCAATCTCTCTCTCCCAAACCCCCTTAATACCCCCTCAGTAGGTACTAAAGTGGGTGTCATTCTTACGTAATACAACAACTTGTATGATGGTTGCTTGTTGATCACTCTTCCATCTTTTTAGATGATGATGGCGTGGTCGTACTTCTTTAATTGACTGGAGTTTATCCACGATGTTTGTTCAGAAAATACTTTAATTCTCTTTTTTGTTTTTGCAGATCAAGGCCAATAAGCCATCGTGGAAAGTTGGTTCATCCTTTTCTATTAAGAAGGTCAATAAAATTTTACCTAAAGTCCAGATTGATGATGATATGGATCTGATTGATGAGGATAGCCTGTTGACTGAAGAAGATTTGAAGAAACCGCAGCTACCACTTGGTACGATAAATATTCCAATTCTGTTTGTGAACGTTATCCAATGTGGGATTTTTTGAAGATTTTATGTTCATTCATTGTAATAAACACACTTTTGCAGTTGGTGATTGTGAAGTTGGAAGCACGAGGAAAGCATGCAAAAATTGCACCTGTGGGCGGGCTGAAGCGGAGGAGAAAGTGCTGAAGCTGGGACTGACTCTGGATCAAATGGACAATCCTCAATCAGCCTGTGGCAGTGTATGTACTGTTATGTCTTCATCTACAAATGTTTATCCTTGTTTGCTGTGGCCTTCCTGGAGTGCGTATCTTTGCCTTGCTAATTATGTAGATATCAATTATGAGGCTCCTTAGGCCACTAATGTTAAATATCTTAATGGAGGGATGGAACATGGAAAAGTAACACACACACAACATATATGCTTGTATGGGATCTCATTTAAATAATGTCCTATGGAAAGCCCAATCATCTATACCATAATGGTCTTTTACCTGTGGTGCTACATGGACAAACGAGATCTGCAATTATAGAGTTTAGCTTGTATATCTCCTCTCTAAAAGTGCTATGTACTGATGCAGTGCGGATTAGGGGATGCTTTCCGGTGCAGTACATGCCCTTACAAGGGTCTTCCTCCATTCAAACTGGGCGAGAAGGTGTGTAGTAAGATTTAAGGCAGCTCTCTTATTTTGTCTTTCACACACTGTCAATTATACTTTTGTCATTTTTTTTTAAGTAGGAACCCCAAACCCCCCCTCCCCCTCCTTTTTTTTTTTAAAAAAATTTTCCTTTGTTCATGAAGTAAGNCCCCCCCTCCCCCTCCTTTTTTTTTTAAAAAAAGTTTTCCTTTGTTCATGAAGTAGGTAGCACCATCTTCTCTCTCATAGAATGTGCAAGTCCTGACAGCTTTTGATAAGACGTCAAAGTCCTATTTTTGGAAAGTTATTCCATATAAATATAAAATGTTCTTGGCTTTTCGTTTTACCATTATGCACTTGACATTACTACTCTGGCATTACTGATCTATGAAACATGAATTTTTAATCGGGAATATCACACTTTATCCCCTATTGTGTGGGCTCAACCATTTAACCCTCCGTGGTTTTAATAATCTGCACTTCAGCTCTTATTTCTTTTTGTATACTTTGGACTATTTTTTCTTGTAATATTTTTATCATTAATAAAATGATGTTGCTGGTCAAAAAAATAGAAGCATTTAAGCCTTATCACTTCTAGTTTTTCAGTGCTTTTACTTTGAAATTTTGATTAATTGAACACCATACTTAATGTTTAGATAGAGGAGAGAGACAATGAGGGAGGGAAGGCATCAAGTGGGGGAACTTCGTCCCCCTAAAATTTTCAATATCCCTCCTGCAATTAAATTTGGTTTCTCTTCTCTTTTTTATGCACAAGGATGTATCTCGCTTACTCGTAAGGGCAGGGGGTAGGTCCTGCCAAGGGGGACGTGGGCTTATATACATGTTTTCGAGCTGGTAAACATTAGAAGCCTTGCCTTTGGCAAAACTCGTCTAGTCTTAGTGAGATTCAAGAACGCTAACCATCCGAGTTATAACTCGCGGTGGATGGTAGCTTCTTCTCTTTTTAAATAGTATATATAACACATACGAAACCTTAGCTTTGACTTTCTCAGGTATTACCTTCACCACAACATTAGTGGCATAGCTCTTCATGCTTCCTATATGTTTTTTTTTATAGAGAGAGAGCAAGGGAGTGGTACGGAAGATTGGTCCGCTCCGCAAAGCTGAGCTTTTCGGTTCGTTCCCCCTTTGTGGTTGGCTTTCTTACCAGTTTGCCTCTTTTCTGGGGAACTTTCTGTTCTATAAATCAATCTTCCCAGAGTTGTAGGTTGAAAAAGAGGGGGAGAAATATAAATCGCAGTATCGTAATGTAGTCCCAAACAAATTGCAAAAGTTTCTTGAATGATTTCCTTTTTATGTTGAGCTCTCATTTGCTTGTTCTTTCCCTTTTGTTTTGGGGCCTAGTTTTCTGATCATTTGAAATCCTCATATTGTGTTAACATATAAAAACTCAGTCCTTACATATCTTTTAGATTTAAGATTAATTGATTTCTCCAGATATTTTGGTTCCACCTCTCTACAAGTCAATTATACTTCATCGGTATTCATAGCATGAACATAAAGTTTTTAGGTTTAGAGCTTTATGGAAAGATTGTTTTGGATTTTTTTTTTGACAATAAAGAGCACAATGGAAAAAAAAACTGCAACAATGAAAGAAGAATTAGGATTGGATATGTTCAAGAAGTGTATTCCACAAATTTACAATTATTTTTGTTTATTAATATGTTTTCGTTATCGTTGCATTTTACTACTCATAATTTTTGTATTTATTTATATAAGTTCAATGTTGATACTGCTAGCAAATTATCCCGTCTTTGTAAAATCTCAACGGAGAAATTAGAGAAGAAAAAGAAAACTTTCTGGTTGTGGGTTTTTCAAATACATTTAGTTTTCTAGTTCTTGGTTGTTTAAGTATGTGATATGCTATGAAATATGAATTTTACTTCGTTAAGGTCAACATATTTATATTGGATATTGTGTCGGATACTATACTCAAGGATTTATATTAGATACATACCATACAGATCTGATAATAATAAAATATTTGAATACTTCACTAAAACATATCGACAATTCTTATGCTTCTAATATTAAAGTGCGTACGTAGAGTAGTATGTATAATTTTTAATTGTAATCTTTGCATTTTCTTCTTGGATTGACATAATGCAACAAATCAAGAAAAATTCATACCACTTTGAAGGAATGTGGGTTTTTCTTAAGTATTATTTACCTTCACATGTTAAAAGAAGTATAAGATGAAATAATTAAACCATATGTCTTGACAATAAGAAATTCTAATGAAATCAACTAGTTAAATCTTAGTTATAATTTCTTTAATTAGTCATGAGATATGTATAATCCTGGTTATAATCAACTAGTTATATTTTTATTATAATGAGATTATCAATACTTTCTTGAAAAAAAATTACTATTTTTTTTAATTATTGTTAAAGAAGTTATATATATAATGAGATTATCAATACTTTCTTGAAAACAAAATTACTATTTTTTTTATTATTGTTAAAGAAGTCTTTAGAATTATAATTACCAAGTTATCAGATAGTAGTAAAAGGATCAACTACGTACATTTTATCATAGATATATTCCAGATATATCTATCTTCATTTTTTAAGTTTTGTTGTATTTGATTCGTATTNTTGTTAAAGAAGTCTTTAGAATTATAATTACCAAGTTATCAGATAGTAGTAAAAGGATCAACTACGTACATTTTATCATAGATATTCCAGATATATCTATCTTCATTTTTTAAGTTTTGTTGTATTTGATTCGTATTACTTGTGTCTCCTATTTGTAACTGTGCTTCTTAGGTTATATGTATTTGGATATGTACATGCATAAATATATATATATATACACATATATACACCCTCTAAAAATATGCAACATCAGCTTTGTTGATCTGACGACTTATTCCCCTCATACAATGTTATTTTACCTCAAGAGGCAAAACGCTTTATTCTCCAGAGAGATTTAGAGAAGAAAATAAGATATGTGAGGGTATAAAGTTATTTTCACTTGTTCTTTTATTGAAAATTTTTGATTTTGTTCTTTGACCAACACACTTGTTTTTGAGGAGTGGTCGTAGGATATCACATCACATGAAGCTTGGGATTTGGACCCAAACAATGAGTGTGTGAAGTCTAAATAATTCNTTGAGGAGTGGTCGTAGGATATCACATCACATGAAGCTTGGGATTTGGACCCAAACCATGAGTGTGAAGTCTAAATAATCCNTCGTAGGATATCACATCACATGAAGCTTGGGATTTGGACCCAAACAATGAGTGTGTGAAGTCTAAATAATTCTTACTATTTGAGCGACTGACAAATATGTAACTAATATTTGATTTATTGAAGTTGTTAATTTGTGCATCAAATGTCAATTGAATAAATATTAGAAAAAAATCTAACTGGGTTTATAGTTAACTGAATTCAAAATCAAACAGATGATGGATGAAAAAATGTAACAAATTACTCAGAATTTGCTTGTGAAAATCAAATTAATTGGATTGCTAGTTAAAATATTAATAACTAATGTGTGAAATAAAAAGTAGTGCTGCTTGAAGTTAATATTAAAGTTATAAGGGTTGATATTGGAAGTGGAAGGCAACTAGGTTATGCATGTGCATAGGTTTATTTTTTGGACAAGTAGGATTTGTGGTCTTATTTGCTCCTTTGACAGCAAAAGTGCAGACTTATCTTCTCTCTGTCTTTCTGGCATCCATAATGTTTAGTCCTACTTTTCTCATCAGTTATATACAAGGAAATTATGCAAACTGCAAATGATCCAAATTTACTTTTTATTTGCTCCTTTGACAGCGGAAGCGAGAGACTTATCTTCTCGCTGTTTTGCTGGCATCCATAATTTGTAGTCCTACTTTTCTCATCAGTTATATTTAAGGACATTATGCAAACTGCAAATGATCCAAATTTACTTTTTGCAGGTAACTCTATCTGGGAACTTCCTTGCTGCTGACATTTAAGCGTTGAGGAGTTGAAACTAGATGTGTCATTGGTGTGCCTTTTGGATGCTACGAGATTTGTGGCCTCAGAAAGTTACTGTCTCAAGATATCGTCTGTGGTTTGATACTATATAATCTTTTTGATTTTTGACTTCGAAATTGTTGGAAGCAGCAATGGAAATGACATCGGTGTGTACTACCATCGTGCATGTTTATTAATGTTTGCTGGAGGGGAGGTATTGATTTTGTTCTGAAATTTTCATTTAGATAAGAGGTTTTGCAGGGGTTTGCTCCTTTTAGACTTGGCAATAAGCATATAATCTTTGGCAAAGGTCTGGCAGGGTTTGCTCTTTAGACTTGACAGTAGGCATACAATAAAAGCCTAAACTGATTGGTATTCTTTTAGAAGCTCTCTTTTTTGGCGCTTGCATTGAACGCGAATGAGGATAATAATAAGCGTGCTACATTTTCTGATGAGTGCTTCGTTCTTGTCTGTTTAAAGCTGGAAGTGAGGTTTGTTTTGTGTATTAAGTTGGCTGAGGACATAGAAATTGGATGTTTCCTACCCATCTATGTTTTGTGCTATTTACCTGACAAGAGTCGGTCTTGGAATTGCCATATAATCTGCCACAGGTATTCTTGCTTGGTGCCTTTTTATGGTTATATAGCTGGTTGAAGGCTTTTGGTGGTTCAGTATCATGGCCTGTCCACATATCACTTCTTACTTGAATGCTATGACTCCAGGATTTCAATTGATTGGTGGGTCGGAATTGTCCTAAATATAAAATTGAAATGTTTGCTACAAGTTTTGAATTTCAACTTGATATGACAAGGGCAAAGAAGGGTTGTTCGAGTGATTAAGTAGATGTTCATCTCGTGGCCCAAATTGGGGGTGAGTTTTATGTTTCATTTGGTACGATAAAAAAATAAAAGAATGAAAAGTTTGAAGGATGGAAAATTAGAAAAATATATAAAACATCATGTTTTGTAAGAAAGGAAAATAAGAAAAATAAAAAAATGGCTGGATGAATTTTTTTTTTAATTTATCAAAATTAATTTTTAAAATAAGAAGGAAAGTAAATGGAAAGTTAATTATTTATATTGAAATGTATTTTATATTTCTTTATATCTTTTGATTGATATATATATATTAATTTTATATATAAATATAGTGATAAAAAATATATCTTTTTTTACATAAAAAAAACAATTGTATCATTATTATTTTTCTTTTTTAAAGAATAAAAAGTGTATTCCTCTTATTTTTTATCTCTTTTACTTTCCATAAGAAAAAGAGCATTAGTAACACAGTGGTTCTTTGGCCTTTTTACCTTGGTAGTAGGGTAAATCCATCTCAATACCTAAAATAGAATTTGATGATGATGCAAATTCTAAGAGTCTTCTGTTTGGTTCTCGTGGAAATATAAATGAGAGGGCTGTCGAATTAGCAGTAATTGCGTGGGGAGTGGCTGGGATGGGATGGTCTTTGGGAATAGGTGGAGGTGGGTAGGCATCTTTTGTCTCCAGACCAGTTTTATCAGCATTGGAACCCAGTCAACAGTGATTGAATTGAATTGAATGGGTTCAATGGTCCAGAATCTTGCCTCACATTGATACACTCTTACTGGCAATCGGACTGGAATGATCAAAAGAAGTCTAGAACAGTGAAGGGTTTTATTGCAGGTTGGGAATTTCTAGCCACCTGAGANTTCCTGTGAGATGATCCATGACCCTGACTATGGACTACACATTTCTCAACCTTTTTTCTTCGTGAGTCAGGAAACTTGTTTGAACCTGAGAGACGTCACAAAATAAGAGGAAGATCCTTCGAAAGCACCTATGCAAAATCATTATAATAAGAAGCATCACAAGTCATACAAAATTTAGAGGCACTAGTAGCTATGAGTTATGCAACATAGGTAGAACATAAGCTTTCTTCATTGCTTTTTTCTAAGGACTGCAACAATAAATTCCAAAGGAGCATGCATTTCTTTCCGCAACAATTGTGTATACTGACAGTACATTAGCTAAACCTGTTGAGATAGGAGGACAAGTAGCCCTTGTGGGCCTACTAATATTTCATTAAGGAAACTGATCAATCCGAACCAGACAACAGGAGTTACATCCACTCCACCAAGGGGTGGAATCAACTTCCGGGTTGGGCTGAGAAGTGGCTCCGTGGGGGCATAAGCTATTACATATGGAAATTTTCCTACTGGAAGTTTTGGGTACCAGGACATGACAATTCTCAAAATGAACAGAAAGCCAAAGGCTGAGAAGAAAGGCCCCAGCAACCCAATTGCCAGCTTCGCTGTTGCAGGGTCCAAATCCACCAGCAGTAATCTTTGCATTAATCCCGATACTGCATGAGACATCTCCAATTTGATACTGTGAGAGACTCCAGTCTGATACAAAGGGTTACCCGATATTGTTGCATGCAATGGTGAGACTTGATTACTGGGAAAATCCATTACTCCCAGCAAATGGTATGCACTGCATTGTGTGTTTCGCAACCCCTGATTTTGGTTTCTTTTTGCAGGAAACTTGAATTTGTCCTGCAACATAGGAATATTTTAGTGCGTGAATTTTAAGGAACTGGTGTTAAACAAAAATTAAACTAAAGGTCTAGATTTCAAATGTTTAGGCATGGATGTATCCGTTCCCCTAAAAACTGCATTGAAACCATAGACCAAAAGACAGACAAACAAGACCAAATAATGCACAAAAAGAGGGTGGCAAGAAGTTCAACTAAAAAACCTATACCTCATTTCAACTAAAACAGGAATCCGGTGCAAACATAATCAATGGTTCACTTTGCCATGCTGGTTTTGTAGTTTGGTACTTCAAGGGGACACATATTAGAAGCACACTATGTAAGAACCAATTACACCTGCTTGCTTATTTTCAACAGAATCTGGTTGGCAATTTCCTCCCCTAGGAATGACTCCCACTCGACCACCAAGTAACTTTTTGTTTCGCTTTTTTCCCCTGCTAACTGGTTATCACAATGTTAAATTTGTCCTTCAGAGTCGCCAAGTGAAATTGAAAAGAAAAGTAAAAGAAACACCTCAGATTTAGTATCAACCTTCATGTCAACACTTGAATATTAACATTTAGCACTTGTCGGGATCAAAGAGATGGTTTCCAGAAACATCTTCCTGCAAAGAGCTAAGGTCTAGCGAACCAGTGACCTAAAAACTCTTTCCAGTAAGAGCTTTCTAACCTTTATTTCTTTTTCCTACTTTGTTGCCTATTGTTTTCACATCACTAACATTAGAACAGTTAGAAGAATGAAATGCTGATACATCAGAAGTTTACTTCGAAGAAAAAGCATACACGCTACATGGATAAATAGCATCCCAGATGCTAAGTCAAAGGATTAAAATTTTGTTTTGGTATATTGTTTCGGTCACCAAAGAAACGAAAACGTTTCGACGTATTTCGGAAACATTTTGACTCGTTTCAAAAACATAATAAAAAATAATAATAATTTAAGAATTATTTTTCTAAAATATTGATTGGAATATATCAAAGTATGTTAAAATACTTTAAAACATTCGGAAACAATTGTGCAAATGAATTGAAATATTATAGAGCATCTCGAAATATTATGGAATACCTCGAAATATTAGAATTTTAATTCCATCACTGATTCATTTCAGTCTTCTTGGAAACGGAAACGTTTCGGACGTTTGGCAATGATATTTTGATCCTTGGTTAAGCAATAACATAATAAAATTATTCAAAAGGCGGTAATTTGAAATTGAATGGTTTCCTCTCCATGTAAAATCCATGGATTCTATCACGGATGGGACTTAATTTTGAACGAAAGCAAATGCAATAAAAAATGAGTACGCTGCAATGCAATAAGTAAAAATCTTTGCTCTATTAGTTGAAGCTCCCAGAGGAAAGAGCCTGTTATGATTCTTGTGAAGAAAAGAACTTGGTAAAGATTTATAACTTAGAAGCATGACTTCAAAAAAAATATATCATCCAGAAACCCGTCATACACTCAAGTCATGATGAAAGAAGAATTTTTAGGGGGTATCTTAAACCTTAAATCAGAAATAGTCCCAATACATACAACTCCGAAAATCTTAAGATAGCAATCATCTACACTGACTTGACCACATGAAACCTTCATAGCCGCCTGACTAATGTGATTTCCCAATGGATCCAGCATGAATGGAACATAGAATCAGGACTTCCAAACAAAAAGTAGCAAAAAAGTCCTATCAGTTTTCTAAATTACAGAACGCAGAAAACAAGGTTGACAGCCTACTTTGTTTGTTGCTCTTGAAAATTGTGCGCAAAAGAGAGAAAAGAACAGTTTTCAACATAAGTTCTTTGTTTTTTTCCTTCCCCAGCAAAAATACAACGTGCATAAAAGATATCAAGTTTTCACATGTGCTGGTGGCTTAAGCTTGAAATAGCAAAACTTTGACTAAAGTATTGTGGCATACATGCCATGATATTCTGAGGAGAATAATAGGGTTTTCCTGCCTCCTGTGTATCCATATTTCACTAATGCTTATTATTTCGACTATAGCAACAGCATTATGCATTGTTGATATGTTATTGCTTGTTTTTCCAGAATGTTAGCTTAGGTAATATGTCATAGATGCTTGCACAGATGATTCTCTATTCCCAATATCATTTACACACTTCTTTTCGAGGGAAGAGAAAAAAAAAATAGTCTTACTCCATGTTTCACACGTATGTCCTTCCTCTTTATTTTATATGACTAAAAGAGCAACATGAAAATTTAGGAGGGAGTGAAGGGAAGAAAATGCAAAAAAAAAAAGTTTAAACATTGAAAAGGCAACCATCTTAATCAGTTGGTATATACATTTCAAACCAATAAGAAATCTCTTAATAGCAAAACAGACAGCATAAAAATCATCAATCAAAGATGATTGAATTTCCTTGTGAAGGATTGTGTTATGCTGCAGGTAAAATGAATGATAATTTCCTCAATTTTGTTCTTCATGTTGAGTGTTAGTGCTGACATTGACTTCTAAGGACAAAAAAAACATGTGGAGATTGAGAAAGGAAGTTAAAAATGATGTAGAAAATAAAAATCAGGTTGGTTAAAGCAAATGAGGGAACTTCTTAAACAATTGATAGGGGTCTCATTTTTTAAAGCCAGTTGACTGCCTCCTGAGTTGGTTCTAACAATTGAGTGAATATCTTACAGTAGAGCTGGACAACAAACACATTAGATTCAACCTTTATGCACTTGAGGCATATCTTTAACCAGGCTTCCTCAGCTATTGGCTCTTTGAATCTAATGGCTTCATCACACAATCAGTAAATAAAAGCTACTGGATCCTTCTGGTGACGGAGTCAATCTGAAGAGGAAGAGGAGGGAAAGTTATTGCTTGACACTGAAAATGTTGGCATAAAAATGAGGGACCATACTTCCCAAGTTATGATGGACTCGCTAGAGATTATGATAAAATATGAAGGCCTATTGTTAAGAGATTTGAGAAATTTTCTTCAAGAGAAGACTGTGGTCATGTTGGGTGAGTGGGGAGCAGTGAAAGAATTTGTTTTTGGAAAGGTGAGCACTCTCTTGCTCTGTTATTTCCTCGTTTCTTCAAGTAGTCTCAGTCTCAAAATGTCCCTGTTGCTTGTATATGGTTTCCTCTTCTTCTCAGGAGGTTGGAATTTCAATTTTTTTGGAAACCTAATGGTTAAAAAATTGTAAAAATTTCATCTTTGCTGTCTTTGTTTCATTTGGTGTATTTGGAATCAGTAATTTCTAATAAAAGGTTGTGGGATCTTGATACTTCCGGTACATTTTCTTTTAAGGTTTTCTTTTATTCGTTGATAGACAATCCACTTTCCTCCAATTTTGACCCACAAATGATGATTTGAAATGCTAAAAAGCGTAGGATTTTTGCATGGACTGTTGCTCATGGAAGAATTAATACATGAAACTTGTTTCACAGGAGAAACCAAATGCTTGTCTCTCCCCCAACGGTGTGCAATTGGTAGGAGTTGCAATAAAGGTATTAATAATCTCTTTAGTCACTACCTTATTCCGGGTCAAATATTCTTTTCTCAACGGAGATGATTTAAACATATGAAATCGGACATTCTTCAGATGTCACAGCTTCTTAGGTATATCAAAAAAGTCTAGGCTCTCTCAAACCTCGCCCAAACAAAGCCTCCACTCTTGGTTATTCGACCAGGTATGCTGCCCTCATAACCGCAGTCAATGATGCTTTTTAGTTCATCCCTTCCGAAACCATGAAAAAATCCATTGGGATACAAAAGAAAAAGGTTGGCTTTGGCCCTTTCCTGCGCACCTTAGGTGGAAGGCGAAGAAGGCCTCATTCCTGGGAGCCCGAGCCTTGGACTTAACTCAAGAAGAAACCTCTTATATGCTCGTTCCAGTGAGTGAAGTGTTTCACTTTATTGGAGCACGAACGCGTAAGAGTATCTTTCTTTGAAGGCAGGGCTTTGGGATCGATTCCGCGAAAAGGAAGATTAATATGTCTCCAACTTGTGTTTCAATGACGGATAAGGCGGTCAAGCTACCTACACCGTCTGACCTGATCATTTAGCTGCTCTTTCTAAGAGACGGGAAAGTCTATCTTTGAGAATAGCAAATTACCATCATTCAAAGTAGGAACTCAAAGGCATGCCCAGCAACAGCAGGAATTCTCTTTGATAAACCGCTTGACTAAACGAAGAAAACATAAGTGTGCTAACATGCACCCTATCTAAGTCAACCTTTCGAGCCTCTTTACTTTACTTTTATCTGTCTTATTTTCAATAATGAATGAAAGGAATTTCTTATTTACTTCAATGACGCATTCGCTCTCATTTGATATATTTTAGGCTAGGATTTGGTTATTCCACGTCATTGTGTTTACTTAGTCATGGAAACATGTGGTTAGTTTGAGAACGGGAGTATGGCCTCCACTCTTTGGGGTTGCATTATGTAGATTTTTTAGGTGATTTGGATGGAAAGAAACAATAAAATCTTTGAACATAAAGTGGAGGTTGATAAGTTTATGGGCGAAAAAGTAAAGTTCTTGGCCTCCTTAAAGGAAAGGTTGCAGCATTCAAAAAGTTTTAGGATCTCCATTTTTTCTAAACTCAAATTTGGAATACAACATGTAGTTAGGAGGAAGTCTCTTATGTAGCTCGTGTTGTTTTGGTGACTTTTTGGGTGATTTTGATGGAAAGAAACAATAGAATCATTGAAGTAAAAGTAGAGGTTGATGGGGCAAAAGAGCAAAGTTATTGGCCAAAGGTTGTGGCTTTTAAAGAATTCCAAGATCTCCCTTTTTTTTGACTCCTCAAATATGGAATGTGGCATGTAGTTAGGAGGAAGTCTCTATTGTAGTTATGATGTTGTTTTGTGTTTTTTCTTTATGTTATTTGGGATGTATTACTTGTCCACTTCTTTCTACTAACGGATTTCTTCAATCAAAAGTAGTTTCCTATCCAGGAAAAAAGAGACCAAGACTTCCAAGGAATTGCGAAATCTTATTCCAGTCAAATTTGATGCATTTTGACTGAGTCTATCTGTATCCTACTTGATATAGTGGTTTTCTGATCTCTTTGAAATAGGGAGGAGCTGTAGGAATGGTAATTTTTGACAATACATGTTGACATGACACCCCAACACGGCAACACAAATTATAGATGGTTTGCTTTGGCGTCAAACCTGGATAACCCAATTTTTGTTTGATTGAACCACTTAATTAATCTTTTCCACACGTTAACACAAACTTAAACACGACCCACATACAACCCATATGTATGGGGTGTAAAATGAATAAAAAATTTCAACCCTAATTCAACTTCCACTCTCATCGTCGTCTATGTGTCTCTTACCACTCAACTCGGTCACCTCGCATCACTTTATCTATGACTTCCAAACTCCGTATCTCTTTCCCTCTCTGCCTTCTTATGAACTAGTGCTCTAGCCACCAATCCATGTAACCTTACTGATCCGGATGCAGTTCGAGTGGCCGAAAATCTGCTTTTTAGTTGACATTGTACCTAAACAAGCCAGGTCTATCTTGTTTCTTCAAACTGAGGTACTATGTAGATCTTCAAGTGTAGCTCCAAATTTTGGAGTTCGTGGCAACTGCCTTCAAAGGAATAATGCCTATTGTCTCATTTTGACTATGAGAGTCCAATTTGCAGTACATGTGTCAGCAGATGATTTCGTGCCCTGTAAGTTGGCTTAAATATCAGGTGGGCATGTGTCAAGAGGCTAGATGGCCTTAGTATTTTGGTAGGCTACAAGGGATACCCAAGCAAGAATGAGAAAAGTTAATAGAATCATACCTTAGTTTGGCTCCTTACCTATTCAATGAAATTAAATCTCCCCTCCCCAAATAACCCAAAGCAAAGCCCTAGAGAGAGAGAGGGAGGGGGGGGAGGAATTTCATCATTCTGGCATGTGAAATTAGCTTGTTGAATGTCACACCCCGCCCTTTTTCCCCAAAGAGAGCCCTTGGTGGAAGGCTAAGGCCTAGGACAGAGCCAAAAAAATTCTATTGGGTGGGCATCTTAAGTTTTTTATTTATTCAGCCAGTAATCAATAAAAGTAAAATAATACATTTATATTTACTACATTATATTCTATATATGAATATTTATTGATGGCAAAAGTCCTCAAATTGATAAAGACACAAAGGAAAAAAAAAAACAAAAAATGTGAGGTTAATCACAATTTTTACAATTGGCCAAATGAGTTTTAATATTTAAGAACATTATATAATAACTTCATTGTCTATGATATTGAGAATATCTTTTTATATAATCAAGTTCTCGGCCATTCATTCGGTTACTCAACTTAGTTTTTACAATCTTTAATTTCTAATTTATTTTACGCACTATTTTCTCATATTAAAATCAAGGCATCAAAATAGCAAAGCCAATAAACAAAAATTTAAGAAGTATAGTACTAAAATTGAAACTCACCTAAAATACATTAAATACAATAATCATCAGTAAAATCGAAATACAGTCATACAAAATAATAGTAAATTACAAGTCAATTTCAACTTCTTATTAAAAACATAGAACAAATAAAACCATAAATATGCAAATCAAAGTATGTACATAATAGGGTGGTCACAATACCATAAATGTTTATAATGTCTCATCAACATATGAGGTGTATTATTACATAGATATCTATACACATACAAAAAAAAAAAAAAATTAAAAATTTTGTGGGTGTGCCAACCCCCTTGGCTCCTTAGTATATCCACCATTGACTAAGGCTATTACTTCGATAACCCATCAATTTTGAAATTTTAGAGGATGGCTCTCACTATGCTAATTATCATGTCCCAAATCACTGTCTTGCTGAACTACAATCATAAGGTGTGTATATACTACGTAGCCAACACACCTTGAGGCTACAAGGCACGAATACTTAGTTAAGGTCAACATATTCGTATCGGATACGATACTCATCGGATATTCAAAGATACATATCGGATACACAACAAATGTATCCAATAATAAATAAAATATATGGATACGTTGCAAATATTTTCATATACAGAGAAGTAAGTATATAAAAATATAATGCAATACATCAACAAAAATACATATGACTTGGACGAGAAATGGGTATTTTACAAATATTATCCTTTATCACATGTTCAAAGAGTTTAAATGAGTTGATTACTCTACAATCTTAACAACAAATACTTCTAAGCAAACATGTCATTAAATATTGATTTTTATTCCTTTAATTTATCACATTCACTTTGTAGATATACCATACTAAAACGATAGGTAACTTTTTTAAAATAAAAAATTATTAATGTTGTTTATTATTGTTAAACAATCACTAAAAATTATAGCAATCAAGTCATTACATAACAGTAAAAATATTAAAAAAAAAACATATATATATATATATATATTTATTTATTTATTGACGTATCTCGGTCGTATCCGTATCCTATTTTTTGGGATTTTGTCGTATTGATATATCCGTATAGTATTGTACCCATATCCCATATTCGTATCCGTGCTTCCTAGCCCCGAGGCATAGCATTCTGTTAGGACAAGGACAAGGCAACATACTATGGACCCTTGATGGAGAAAAGGCGTTACATTAGGAGCTATATTAGAATTAGAGAGCCCTTGGTGGAAGGCTAAAGATATTACTTAGATAACCTATCACACGCTNGAGAAAAGGCGTTACATTAGGAGCTATATTAGAATTAGAGAGCCCTTGGTGGAAGGCTAAAGCTATTACTTAGATAACCTACCACACGATCCCACGCAATCAATTTTGAAATTTTAGAGGATGGCTCTCACTACTGTCCTGTCGAACCACAGTACATAAGGTGTGTACAGACACCCCAAGGCATAGCATTCTGTTGGGAAAAAGGACAAAGCAACATACTATGAACCCTTGATGGAGACAACCTTGAGGCATTACACTAGAAGCCACCTATCTAATATTACAACTAGAAAGATGAATTCTCAACTTATAAAAGCACAGCAATGATTAAGATTGATCCAACTTTTATCTATTTCGATCCAATCATACAAAATTTATCCTAAATATTTTTTCTGCACAAAAAGTAAAATCTTCTGCACAACCTCTAATTTTAGATAACTCAATCAACACAATTCTTAATACTAGATAACCCTACTAATCCACACATATCTTTCTCTTATTTTCTCTTTGTTTATTTTAATTTTAAACTACATTATAAAGAAAATTAAAAAAAAAATTGCTATATTTAAAATATAAATGTTGTACAATCAAGGCTAAATTTTTGGTATTGTAAAGTGTCTTCGGTCACGGGATATTACTAGTATAACGATAATTTTAATACTATTAGCCAAATTCCCAAAGTTCAACTAAATAGCAAATCACAAATTCCCAAAGTTCAACTAAATAGCAAATCAAAGTTTAACACTCGTATCTCCAATACATA